TTGTATCATTTTATGGCGTTTACGAAGAAAATAGCATGCGCAGGGGCGCCGGAGCCACGGGGCAGCGGGGGCAACTGCCCTCATTGCCCAAACAGTGCGGGGGCAGCGCGGGGGCAGCACGGGGGCAACAGGTTGCCCTTTTTACCAAAACTGCACTTCGAAATTCGTGCGTTATTCACAGGTATTAGTATTTATAACTATTTTTAAGCAATGTTTAAGCAATCTTTACTTCATTTTTAACCAGTTGCAGTAAAATTAATGCTAAATTAAGTAAGACACGTCCGTTTACTGATTTTATTTTGCACCTACACCAGGGTTTAAAATAACCGCCGGCTATCGCCGGCAGTTTTAGGACCTTGCCGGCGATTTTTAATTTCAAAGCATAGGGATCGGCAACTGCATACTATAACGAAGCTGTTATTGACTCCATGCATGGATCTGTGGCCAATGCTCTGGAAGAAAAAATCTGGAGGAAGCACGGGAATTGTGGGAAATGATCGAGCTGTGTCTCTGCTGCCCATACGGCAATGCATGCAGTCTGCGAGGCGTTCATCTCGTACTTGTGTGTACAGTATATAGTCCGCTCTGGCTGCCGCAACAGGCTGAACAAACGCAACTTGACTGATTTAATGCGCAATAAAGTGACAGATCCATCCATGCACGCTTTCCGTGAGCGTTTTTGTGAGCTAGCTTGCTGTGGACCTCTGGAATAGTGATAAATCACGGAGGAAGACCCAAGGAAAACGAAAACAATATGCTGCAAGAGGAAACGCATCAGAGAGGACAAGAGGGAAGAATTCCTTAGAGATTGGTTGAAAGACGTCGGAGATGAGGACGAAGAGGATTCGAAGAGTGAGGAAAATGAAGTTGCCCCAGAACCGGTCACGAAATCCCACTAGTTACCTCTGCTCAGTGGGAGTTGTCGGGCAGCTCCGAAGACAGTGATCGTGAAGACCCTCTCCTGGGCGGAATGAGAAGCAATGACTGGTGATTCCAACTAAACTATAGTATTCTACTGTTCTATAGTGGGTCAAGTGAGAAGAATCCAAAATGAACTGAGCACCAGATTTTGTAAACGGTGACGGATTTAGTCGTTTACGACTATTAGTATAGATTATTTAATAGATTATTTACAAAAAGTTTAAGTTCGGTTCTATTAAGCTATAAAAACAACAATATTTTCTTGTTTTGAACTGATTCACATAGACCTTGTTAATGTTTTTAAAGTTTGTTCGTTCACTGCAACCAGGTATATCAATCATGTTTCGCTCGCTACTCTGGTTTAAATAAATGATTACAAAGCCCAGTCGAATTGTAATCAAGACCCAACGTTTCGACACTCCAGTCTAGTGTCTTCATCAGGGGTGATCTAAAATTGCAATCGTGGCTTCTTAAATACCCCCAAAGGATGACGTCACCTGCCAAGAAGATGCATTTTATATATTCCTCTGGCAAATAGGCACCGTCATCCCTATTCAAAGCATGATGACTCATATTTATATGCCACGCTTAATTCTAGGCAAAGTCTTTGACCTAGCGATTGTTTGTGGTCATTACTTTAGAGTTTTCCCACGCAATCTCGTGTTTGGAGTAACATACATGTTCGGCTAAAGCTAATTTTTCCTTGTCTAAAGTTGAAACAGCCTTTTGATGTTCTTTTGGCCGTGTACCAAACTGGCGTTTAGACTGACCCAAATACTCTTTGTCGCAGTCATCGCATGGTGTAGAATATATAGCATGAGTCTTCTGATTTGTTTCAACAGGATCTTTTGGCTTTGCGAAAATATCGCCTAAAGTCAAATAGGGTTTTAAGGCAA